TGGGCCCAAGTACCATACCTTACCACCCTTCCTCTGAGCTGACAACCCAACAAATATTCTTCCAATTACTAATTTTAGAGAAAATTCCAGGAACTAAAGCCTTCACTGAATCTTTCCTGAATGGAGAGAGAGAGGAAAGGGAGTAATCTCACACAGCAGCAGCCCCACTGTAGGGTGCACTGGGCAAGGATGATCCCCCATGCCTCCCCTGATGCTGCAGCCCCAGCCAAGGGAAGCATCCCCCTGGAAGCCAACATGCTCCCATCACTGGGATGTCTGGGATCATTGTGGAGGTGGAAGCATGCGCAGCTGGGAGGTCCAGGCAGGCTGTCAGAGCTGGGCATCAGATCAGCAGCCTTAAACCACCAGTTCATTCTTTGTTATTGGTTCCTTGTTTGCTTATCAGTTCTTATTAAAGTCAAAAATAACACAGCTCCTCATTCTGGAGCACTGCTAACCACACCTCAGCTCCCAGTCGACCACAGATGCTGGGGAGGAAGACGTGAAGGACAGACTGCACTAGTAAAATGTTGAAAAACATACAACAATGTTAAGAATAAAATTAATTACTTTTCTGCTTTGCTGAATACAGAATGCTTTAATTGCAGGTTTAAAAATTACATAACAGCTTGTAAATATGTGAAAAGCACAACAAGTAGCCCTTTTACAGATCTTCTAGATTCTTTTTTCAGCAAAAACATGTGCTTTGAACTCTGCTGGAGAGCTTTCTAATATCAATGAGCAAGAAGATGACCTGAATAATTTGTCCTTTCTGGTACTAGAACAGGGAACATCTTACATCTAGGGATTTAGAAACATCTGTCTTGGGAAACATATATAAAAAATTGGGTTTGTTGATTCAGGCCAAACTCTGTCACTACTTTCATCAGGGCTTTGGATATCATGTTCAGATAAGGCACCAGGAAGGCTTGGATCTTCTCCAGTCTTCTGTTGAGAGAATAATAATCAAGACATCACCCTTGGCTGACAAATGAAACAGGGAACAGATTGCTATCAGTGTAAGAGGCAGCTCCTCTGACAGCTACAGGACAAGATTGATCTCAAGAGATACACAAGATTTCTGATTAATAGAAACACTTAGGTCATACTTTTCAGGAGAACAGTGACATGTGAAATCACATTACTGCATAAATAATTGGGACAATAGGTTAGGCATCAAGGTGAAGCTCAAGACTTCACTGTGAACTCCAAAAGGCAGCTGTATCCCACAGGGCTACAAAGAGCTTGTACTGGGACAAGAAGAAATCACCCTTTATACAATCAGTCTACATCAGAGGACTGCATCAGGAGCGCCTTCCTGAGCTGAACTTTCTGAAGTTTTTAAATGCTCAAGGGATAAGATGGAGAAACCACAGTTCATTTCAGAAAGACATGGAGTGGTCAAGATAAGAAAGCTCTCCTGGTCTACAAATTTTGGCTGCAAAAATTTCTAAAAGGGTCCAGGGAAAGGAGGTGAAAAAAGTTCTGGAAAACAAGAGCAGGACTCTCAAACAATTCATTAGAAGCTTACTTATGCCTAGCAGAGTTGAGGGAGAACTGGGATGTCATTACTGAGCATTCAAATGGGAGATTCTTTCTGAACAACCTGCTTGTCTCCACGGCAGTAGAGTGACTTGCCATTTGATCCTGCACTCAATTACAGCCTGCCATTTTAGCCTCTCCAGCGACACAAAATGGGAAGTATCTCCTCATGTCTGTGCTAGTTTTTGTGACTTCTTCCAGAGCCATCCCCAGCCATTCAGTTCTGGTAATCCATTATTCTAGCTAGGGACCAGGAAGAAACAATGGGAGCTCTTTTACTCTGTATGGAAGGGTGATGAAGCACATCCTTTTTGTGCAGAAACTGGAGGACAAGGAAGTTTGAGCACGAGACATTCCTACACAGCCACAGCAGATTGCACAAGTACTCAAAGTCTGCCAAGTGGAAGGCTCTGAAATGCACTGGGAAATCACCTGGAATGCAAGATGCAAACAAATCCACTGAAGAACCTATATCCAGCATGCCCAATTGTTGTGTTATTAATGAAAGAGGAAGAAGGAAAACAGAGTAAGAGTAATATGAGACTGAGGTTTCCACTGGTGTCTCTTATCTAAGGAATCAGTCTCTCCACTGACCACATAAGAGAAAATCCAAAAATTTCAATTTAGCGACTTGCCCAGCAGCAGAATCAAAGGCAGGTGGTGGATATAATAGACAATGCTGGGCAAACCGTTTCTTTCTGCACAGCACTCAATAACAGAGTTGCTGCTATTGAGTTCTAACCTCTTGTCATGCAGCAACATTGAGTCAACAATCCGCTCTCATGGCTTAATGCTTTTGATGTTTACTTTGTTCTTTGTATAGTTCAAAAGAAAGCACTAATGCACCAGTCCTCTTACCAAATACAATCTTAATCCCAGAATCCCGAGCCTTTTGCTGTTGGCCAGTTAAGTCTGTTAAGACGAAAGGATTTGATCAAGCTTTACATAACAACACAGAAGTTAAATCCAGCAAAGAGAGTTCTTTTTATCTGCACTGCTCAGACAGCTAAGAGAGGGGAAAAAAAGAGAGGGAAGGAAAAAAAAGGTAATGAACTTGGCTATGTAAAACAAAATAAGGAATTCAATTATTTCTCTTATTGCCACTTTGTCTTTTCAGTGAGAGTCTTCTAAAGAACTCTGATTTATTCTCCAATAAAGTTCCTGACAGAGAAGGCTCTAACATTCCCCTAAACCAGAACTGTGGAACTTGCTGTGCTTTTTTTTTTGGTAAATCTGAGAAATGTTTCCTTTTCATCCCTACCATGTATTTATGAAGATAGAATACTGATGCATGGAATTTGGTAGAGCATGGTATTTGCCATTGTCCTCTCTGAGCTTACTCTAAGCAACCATTTCCTGGGTTACAGATCCCTGTCTCTGACGCTGTTGGTGATTTTGATGTTATCTTATGACACATGAGCATATATTCATGCAGCACCTGTGTTATACCAGTACATATGTAAAGACCACGAGGCAGCAAAATAGAGGCAGAACAACTATTTTAAATGCAAAGATCAATCTATGTTCTAGAATGTTAATTACATTTTCCCACAGAAACATTTCTATGCAGAGAAGAGGCACAACATCCATCTTGTATCTAAGAATTCAATCTGTGCCCTATCAAAGGTCTCAAATCCTGTTTCAGCTTCACTTTATCTAATACCATGGTTTTGAGCTAGTAGTAGCACAATCATTAAAGCATGATGCAAGTAAAAAATTACACAAAAAGGATGCTTTAACACAATGATTGTTGTATTGTTTGATAATGATAAGATTTTCAATATCTGAATGAAATAGGAAGTGGTTAACACTGTCCCCAGCATGGAAAGCACAGCCTGGAGATCTGAGAGCAGAAGGGACGAGGAGCAAGCTTTGACAACTTGCATGCACTGCCTGAGCACAGGGTGGGAACAGTCATCTTCCTCCCAGCTGGAAAGATGCCACAGAACAGCCCTTCCATGGTGACAGCACACAAAGGATCGACCACTGCTGGTATCTAAATCTGGTCTTCACTACCCAGCTACCTCATAACAAAGGAGACTCATCAGAAGCAATAATGTGAAACTGCTGAAAGACTGAAATTACAGTTGCCTAAAAGGCTTTACATTCTAATAAAAAGAATCCTGCTGCTGAGTAGCTTAAAAATATTATATATTGAACATTATGTTTGCTATGCAAGATAATGCTACACAACAAAGAAAAATAATTAGAGGCATGGAAAGATAGAATGAGACAAAGAAAATGAAATTGTTCACCTTGCTGACATTTAATATCCTGTCTGAAGTTTCTCCTATAATTCTAAAATTAAAATCCTACCCTATGTCCTAGCAAGGGAAGATTGGAAAACTGTGGTGAAGTTAAATACAAAACCACTTAGCAAACACTGACTCCATCATGGCAAGTATAGTTTGCCATTGTGATAAACAACAGCCTACAAGCACCAGCCAAAATTCCTATGTTATGGCACGTATGAGACATGCAGTCTTTGTAAACCACAAAGATGAGAAAAACTTGTAATCCAAGACTCACAGTGTATTACCACATTGCACAGGTAAGGAACTGGAAGGCAGACATTCTTAACAGAGAATCTTTCATGTTCTGGTTATACAAAAGCTTCTAATACCAGAAACAAATGATTGGATTATAAAGTATAGAAATTTCCAGATTAAGCTTGACATGGCTCATTGCTGTAAGTAAACTGGGCATATTGTTTCCACTAGCATATAATATAAATCCAGCACACAGCCCATGCAACCTTGTTACACTAGAGGGTTTCTGAAGACTCATTTCCTTGAAAGGAAGGAGCAACAAATTAATCTCCTGCACTCAGAACCCCCACTGCTCCCTGAAGCTCAAGGTACCTCGGATGTGCTCTCTGGCAGAACACAGCATCCTTACCCACAGGCACCAAAGGTCCTTCCCACCACAACAACAATTCCATCTCAACTTTCTGATCACAGAGGAGGAGATGAGATGGAAAGAGAAACTATCTGAGGCAATAATGATTCCATTCATGTTCAAGAAAAATGTGTTGAGTAAGAGTCTCTAGTCCTTATTAGAAATTAAGGTGGGAGTTTCTAAGGCTGGTTTGTGTAAGCCAGAAGGGAATGCAGTGTCCCACACAACCCAGAGCTAACAGTTTCACTCATTTGCCACCTCTGCCAGGGACAATGACATCCATCACCCCTACCAAAGTCAGGAGAAGTACCTGGAGAAAATGGTGAGACCCTGAATTAAAACATTTGGTCCCTGTGATTCAGCTGGGTGACTTTTTCCAATACAAGTAGTAGCAGATACAGAAATAATACAGTATTTCCATCTTAACAATTTTTTCAGGCAAATGACACATTAGTAGATCAAGAACTGCACTCTAAATATATGCATTCTCACACTTATTTATTCACTAACTTATTCCAATACTCCTTTATATTAACCAAAAAATGTTGTTCTTTAAATACCTTCTAGATGAAAGTGTTCATCACCAATAGTGTCTCTGTAGCCTTCCCCAGATAAATCCTGTTGAAAACAAAACAAAACAAATTAAGTATAAATACACTATATAGAAAGTGTTGAGTTGTTAAAAATATGCATTTATTATTGCCAGAATTAATTTATAACATGAATGATAACACAGAAACTGTTTTCCAGAAAAGAAGTCAATCACCTTATTAGTGGTAGCCAATGCATTTGCTGCTATTTTACAATGCTCTGGACATACTTCTGGACAAAAATATGGTGAAGATGAATTGACTATACAGGGGAAAGAAAAAAAAAAGATCATATTTAAATAATTTTATAGAGTAATATTTAGTCTTTCAATGTTCTTTCAATCAAGCAAGATTAAAAAACTCCAAATGGAAATGATAAAGAAGAAAAAAGCCCTTCACTACCCACAGAGGAATGTCATCACTTGGTTCCACCAAGAAACAGAAAACTTCCTTATGCCAGAGGTCACCCAAGAAAAGCAGATAACAGATTCTGACAAGCTGCCTGAGCCTTCAGTTCTGAAATTAATTAAATTCCATCAACCCCAGTATGTCTAGAACAATACAGAAGCAGATGCCATAGTCATGCAGACGAACTTATCTCAGACCCAAACAACATTTCTGCAGTGGTGCTGAAGTAGTCATAAAGGGCATCAGTGGGATTTGGAGCTTATCCCAGTTACAAACACTCTGGAGAGCATTCTCACTCTCTTACTAGCAAACCCTTCCAGCTCCATCACCCCACCCCAGCTAAACCACAAGCAATGGCAGCTATCCTCATGTCCTGACTGCTCTCAGCCATTCCAAAGCTTTGGCAGCACCAGTGTCACCGACCTCACACTGCAGTCCAGCTCCCTGGATTCTCCCCAAACACTCTCTGCCTCTGATAAAGTTATGGTGACAAAGAAGGATATGGGCCTGAAAAACTGGCATGCTGCACTCACAGCCATTCCAGCTGCATCTGCAAAAACAGACCAGCAGCTCAGAGCCAGAATTCTCAGCATCAACCTGTGGGCTGGAAGTTGACCTTGGAGAGCTTTCAGTAGAAGATAAGGATAAGGTAGTAACCTGTGAAAATTAATGTCTGGTTGTATTCATTAGCTTTATTGTTAAGGAATTTGATCATGATAAAGGAAGTTCACCTCTTTTTCTTGAAAAAGTTGGCACAGGTTCTTTACCTTACACATGCCCAAATGTTATTCTTTGAGATTAGTTATAACAGAGTAACTAAGCCACAAAAGCATATCTTAGGAATTCTTCAGTATCAATTTCTGCAGCATGTTAAAAATTAGATTTCACCAACAATACTGGATACCCAGCCCAGAAACCCTGAAAATACTGCCTCTTCACAATCACATCCCCTGAAGTAAAGTTACACGTTGCAGGACAAATGCCTCTGAGAAATGCTGGCAAACTGGCCTGAATGCTGGGATACAGCACAGCACAGTGCTGCTATAAAAGCTGACATTCTGGATTTATCTTTGCAGGTAGAACACCACAAAAAAACTACTTTTGTTCCAGTAAAAATCCTCTCTTTATCTGGGCATGTGCTGATTAATATCAATCATTACCTTAAAAATTATGGAAAGAACAAACAGAGAATGAAAAGAAGACACAAAACATTGGCATAACACATCATATTGCTGCAACATGATGATCTTGATCAAATTTGATCCAATTCCCCCATGTCACAATTTTCCATGAAGCTGTGAGAGCGTACCCCTGCCTGCCCTAATAGATAATGATATATAGAAGTGACTCTGCTCTCCCACAATACTAAATATGGAGTAATTGTTTCATTAGGTGTTTTCTTGTGTTGGAATTCCCACTCTCCTTGGGAAAAAACCCTATTTTCTGTATTTCTGATCAGCAAATATGCAATGGGTAGGTACTTGTGGTGTCTCTGTGAGAATACTATCAGATGGTAGCTTTCACCTCCTAAAATTTTAGCTAGGCAAGCATTGCATCTGGGTATCAAACACTGCCTGTTAAAATGTCATTAATCTCATGCTCTACAACACTCAGAAGCCATTAATTGTTGTGATTTTTCATATGTCAAAAGACATCACTTTGAAACAAGCACACATTTGTTGATGAAAAATGCACTATCAAGTAACTCAAAGGAAAACAGTGGAACAAGACAGGCAGTGTAGAACAGCAGAGTGAAGCATTAATATTCATTACACTAGCTCCCTTATTTCCTCACTTTTAATCATTACATGGGTCTTAAGCAAATATGTTTTATATTCCAGTCTAGTTTCACTCCTTCTCTAGCTCCTAGTTATTTAAGTTAAAGTAGTAACTTAATGCAGGCAAATTTCCAGTAAGTGTTTCTGCCTTAAACCAAATTATTATAAATTAACACATTCTAAAAAGTGTTTTTCATGCTGTTGAACCATAATATAACTGTTAGACAGCATATAAATTGACAATCCATCCTGAAACTGATGAGAGTATTGTTTGAACAGTTAGTGACACGTTTAAGCAGACTTCCTCAGCTCCCAGCCAAAGGTATTCCTCTGTGGAAGATTCTGACATGTATTATCTTTGATAGACAGACATGTATCTGAGAAGGGTGTGGGCAACTCTTAAGATTTTACAGGGAAAAAAATGCAGGAGAAAAAAATATATATATTCTCTTATTCATCTTATCATCATTAACTTTTCTGTCAAAAAAACTACAAGAGAGTTACCTGAATATTTTTAGCACCACTGAGATAGATGTTGCTACCTGGATAAACGCCAGAATGCACCTGCCTGAGAAAAGGTTTCTGGGCAGTGTATGTAAACTCACACAAGAGAAAAGTATAAAAGCTGAGCAAGCATCAGAAAAAACAATTCTGACTGCAGCTCATCCTCCATAATATGCTGCCAGTAACCCACGCAAATTGCCTTGGAGTGGATAAAACAGTGCATCTACTCCCAGCAACACAAATTCATAATGTGGGCTAGAGTGAAAGAAAAGGGTCAGTGGGTAAAACAGAATTCACAGCTCAAGAAGCTCTAGTGGGAAGCAAACACTACATCCAGGCAGGAATATTTGACACCAGGGACAAGTGTGCTCAAGCACAAGGAGGACACAGGCTCGAGGGGATGAAAAAGCCAGGAATAGCTCTGCATTCAGCCAGGCTCTGCCACAGGGCCCTCAGCAGCCACCACGGCAGGAGCAGTGCCCAAACAGCAACAACATTTGGGTCGTAGGCAGCTGTATATCACTGTCCTGACACAATGCTTTAAATCACAGCACTGCCTTTTCAAACTGCACCACTGAGTCATGAAACAACCAAAACCAGATGTACCCTGTGAAATACTACATAAATGAGGTCAGCGAGCAGTTGAAAGAATAAAGAAAAGAAACATTTACACAGAAGGATTATTCCAGCATGCCATGGCTAGGGGTTGCTGGACAGGAACCCATCTAGAGTAAGTGTTTCTACCTCACCAGGAGTTTCCCAGATAAAGAAGTTGGCTGTTGTTGGCTACCAACACAGCTCACAGGGAATGACTCAGATTCAGGCTCAAACATGTGCTTCACAACCCAGAACAGCTGGCTGCCTGGCCTGGCTAGAAAGGACCTTGTGCCCCATTCATCCCACTCTGATAGGCGCTGCTGTACTCAGCTCAGATTTAAGAGGGTGGGGGTGGAGAGAAGAGTTAATTAGTGCAACTCCCTCAGAAATGTTGCTGAGTATATACATACATGAGGGGAAAAACAACCTTTAAGAACTCCCACACCCCAGGACTTCTATTCAGTTGGGTACAAGTCCAGCAATCGTCACTCACTTCCCACCTTTGCTATGCAATCAGACATCAATGAATTCTAAGTCAATAGAAATTTTAATTTTTTAACCTTAACTTCAGCCCTAACTGCCCTGTGCAGTCCTCCTCCTGATACAAGTCTCTGGAGACAAAGGCCAGACACTCCGGGGCTTCCAGCTATTGACTTCCTTCTCACCAGCCATCTGAAAATGTTGCAACCCAAATGCTCACCCTTCATTTGCCTACATCACCTTTGCTGGCTCCCTTTCTGCTTCCACCTTGAGGCTGAGCTCCTTGACTTCACCTTCCAGGCTCGGCACAGGCATATTGGTCGCATCACCTAGTGCTGCCTCCTAGTCCCTACATCCACTGGTTGCTCCAAGCTTGCTCTGCAGTATTACCCCCTCCCTGTCCTGGCTCTGCCTTTCCATGTCACACCCACGACACCCAGCACATTTATGTCACACGAGAGCCAAAGCTCCTGATAGCAACCAGAGCGTGTATTTCAGCAGCCTGTGCCTGACCTAACAGAGTGCTCAATACAGTTTTGCTCCAGTGTATTAAATATCTCAAAGGATAACCTTTGATTTAAGTGGGTTATCATGATAACAAGCACATTTTTAAAGCTTGGGCCCCCTACTCCTTGTATTGCATCTCAAGTCAATATTGCACTAATTAACATTTTTCTAAAAGGTGTTGCTCTTCTCAAGTAGAAACAAGTTGCTTTACCTCTCTCCCTCTTCAAACACCTCATTAAAATACCTTTATTTAGCCTTAAGATACTGAATTTTCCACATTTTTGGCAGAAAATATACATGTATTTTATGCTTAATGAAGTTTTTGTCAAGGAATCATATATACTTTTTTTTTTTTTTTTGCACAACATATGCAGAATGACAAATCATCAACCAAAAACCTTTCCTCCCCATTTTTAACCATCTGGCTGAAACATGGGTTTTTTTCTCTTTATTCTCATATTGATGCAATAAAGCTTTGGAATGACCGAAGCTGAAGAAATGCATTTCACAACAAGACTGCAAGGGACAAGATATGTGGTAATTCTAATGTCTTGAGTAGATTTTAAATTATTTTATAGCCACTGCCAACAAGAATGCTGTGTCACCTAAGCACAAAATTCAATTCTTGGTGTAGAAAAAGCAATCCCAAGAAATAGAGGCTCAAGAGAATGAGGATGCCCTTTGGCCGTTCAACCAAACCACTGAGGGCCTGTCAGGTGCCAAGTGGCCATTCTGAATGTTTCAGCCTCACTTG